GTGTTTAAAAATCATATCACCGTTATTGAAAAAAATTATATCGCGATACATATTGATATTGAATTATTGTCCAGCCCTAATCCAACATCTCATTTCTTTTGGTTATGTTTCACAAAATGCCATGAAATCTGATTGTTTTGAATATTTACTGTATTTCATTTGATTGGCCTGCCATGTATGCATTATATTCCTCATTGTTTTAGATGTTGTTGTAAATTGGTTGTTCATTGCTGGTAAGTCCAAAGAGAACAAAATGTACAAATAATAGCCTGCTTTTCCAAGCAAATATCAAACCGGCAATTTCATCTCTGTTGACTCGTACCATTTTCAAATTGCACTCTTGCATTTTAGTGATCATACAAGACCATACTGCAATTTTTATTTGATTAATTGTGTAGATTTAGCATGAGAAATTATATTAGAAGGGGCCTTTTTTAAGTACAAGTTACATACACATGCACGCAGATCTCCATCATCTGCACCATTGAATCTCAACACTTGGTCCCTCGCTATGTTCTTATGTTTTCACTGAATTCATTGCACTGTGATCCTAATAACCTGCTCTCACTCACTGTTAACTAACTACCCATCATCCTTTGCTCCCGTCCAGCTGACCAGCTGCCTCAATGTTGATGTTGTTGTTTATTGTTGTTAATTGTTGTGTTGGTGCTGTTCTTGTTCCCACCCTGCTGGCAGGACACTGAAGCATTTACACTTAGGTTTAACTGTACAGGTGCATCTCAATAAATTTGAATGTCGTGGAAACGTTCATTTATTTCAGTAATTCAACTCAAATTGTGAAACTCGTGACTAGTAACTTGTTGATTACTGAGTACTCATTCAGTTAATATTCAGACAAATGCAGAAAGTTATTGCATGTAAGGATTTAGAATTTAACAGAATGATTTTTAAATTCCAAATTAGTTCATGAATTTGAATTAAATTTGAACTGAGTAGCAAACAGGATCAATTTGGTCAATTTGAATGCAAATTTAAGGAAGTAGAATTAATTTCATCTCTGTTGACTCTGTACCATTTTCAAATTGCGCTCTTGCATTTTAGTGATCATACAAGACCATACTGCAATTTTTTATTTGATTAATTGTGTAGATTTAGCATGAGAAATTATATTAGAAGGGGCCTTTTTTAAGTACAAGTTACATACACATGCACGCAGATCTCCATCATCTGCACCATTGAATCTCAACACTTGGTCCCTCGCTATGTTCTTATGTTTTCACTGAATTCATTGCACTGTGATCCTAATAACCTGCTCTCACTCACTGTTAACTAACTACCCATCATCCTTTGCTCCCGTCCAGCTGACCAGCTGCCTCAATGTTGATGTTGTTGTTTATTGTTGTTAATTGTTGTGTTGGTGCTGTTCTTGTTCCTGTGCTTTATCCTGTGTCGATGTGACACTCGTTCTCGCCCCCATGACCGTGCCGCGGCTGTGCTGTGTAAATCATGCATGGGCTTTGGGTGCATGGGAAATGAAGGGGTTACATTGGCCAGCCTGATGGAGAAGAAGAAGAAAGGGTTTAACTGGTTCAGCCAGTCCTCTGACACTCATGGTAAATCTCCCTCCCACCCTTCTGTCCCTTTCATATATGTGATTACTTGATGATATTCCTGAATATTACCTGTTAGAAGCCTTGCACAGTGTTTGTTTAATAGGCATTTTTAAATGAATGGTTCTGGATATAAAATCTGATTGGAAGCTGTTATAAAATACTAGGGTACCAGTTACAAAATGGACTAATATTTCTAAAGGGATAATGAACTAATTCACAGATAATGTTTTTGGATTTGTATTATTATTATTCATTGATTTCATTATTTATTGAACATTAGTCATATTGCTGTTTCCAAATTTTATAGAAGTAATAATCCATTTAAGCAATATCCTTCATTTTCTTTCCTATGTTGCCATGCTTCCTGTTGTATTGAAATTTTTGGTCCGTTTTCCCAAAATGCATGTGCATTTTAAATGCATTTATCTGTTAAATGTTACTTATTAGGGGTGTATATAGATGAAAGGAACATAAAGCTAAAAAAAACTTTTTATTGGGTTTTTAACTGTAATAAAATCACTCTTCACTACCGTTCAAAAGTTTGTTTTAGAAAGAAGATTCACTAAGGTTGTATTTTACTGTAACAAAACTTACTGTACTGTAAGTAAAATTGTGAAATATTTTTTCTATAAATTACATTTTTTCTATACATTTTTCTATATATCGCAGTTTTCTATTTGAATGCTAGAATGTAATTTATTCCTATGATGCAAAGCTGAATTTTTAGCAGCCTAGTCTTCAGTGTCACATGATCCTTCCCAGATTTTGTGCAAAATAAATATTTCTTCTTATTATCAATGTTGAACACTTACATTTCGCTAAATATTTTTGTGGAAACAGACAGTGATACATTTTTTTTCATGATTATTTGATGAATATAAATAAATAAATAACAGCATTTATTTGAAATAGATTTTTTTGTAACATTATAAATGTCTTTTTTTTAAAAATAATTTTTTAATCAATTTAATGCATCTTTTTTTTAAATAAAAGTATTAATTTCTTCTTCAGAAAATGAAAATCATAGTGACCCCAAACTTTTGAATGGTAGTGTATGCAGTATAAAGATTAGAAGTCGGTTTCATCTCTCAACTAGACAAATATTCCATGTATGGGTGAACAGACATGCATGGGATCGATAATCATGCTGTTTAGCATGGAATCGAGCAAATCATTTTACCATGTGAATGTTTACTATAGCTGTATCTAAAAAAATGTTTGTATTAATCATTGACTTATGCACAAATTGCCCATTTTGGCCTGTATGGATGTATGTATTTAAGCTAAATGTTTAAACTTTAATGTCTATGTGTGTGATGTTTATGTGGACGCCGTGGTGTGTGAATGCACTGCTAATTCCTAATCATGCTACTTGTGCATTGCAAGTGTGAGTTTTCCTTCTCTATGCCCATCAGCGTTTATGCTCTTTGTACCCATCAATTTTTCCTCAACATTAGTGTTATCAGACTCCTCGCTTGCCTCGTTTCCTCGTTCCTGTGCTAATTTAGTCCTCTCATTCTCATTCTCTCAAAATCAGAGTGATTCAGAGATCAGAACTGGCAGGAGTGGGAGTGCAGCGTCTCTCCAACTTAAAAATCCCACTTTAAAACAGTGACAGCGAGTTTCTAACATAGAAATGAGGTTAAACCCAGATCAGGGTCAGCATTTTATAGAGCAGTCACATAAAAGTCTGATCACACTCGCTTATTACTGTCTTTGGATGTGTCAGAATTTATCCGTATATCCTGAGGAAATGTGAGGACTAAGAAAAACTGATTTTTTTTTTTTACTTTTCCCCTCAAGCTGCCTTTATTTTACCATTACCGAACTCATGATAAAACCTTTAGCCTTTAATTAAATTTTTGTAAATTTCTTCTCAGAACAGCGATGCAAGTTGATTAAACTTGAGTTAACGTATAAATAATAGCTAACACTACATAAAGATTCAATGAATTAATAAACAAATGAATGACAAGTATAAATTGAAAACAAAAAAGCATGTTGGATTGCAGTAATTCCACTAATTTTCAACAGTGCTTGTGTATACACCTGTATATATATATACTAACTTAGAATGTGCAGTATGTCATTTAAATGCATTCTAGTAACTTGTTGATTACTGAGTACTCAGTCAGTTCATATTCAGACAAATGCAGAAAGTTATTGCATGTAAGGATTTAGAATTTAACTGAGAATGATTTTTAAATTCCAAATTAGTTCATGAATTTGAATTAAATTTGAACTGAGTAGCAAACAGGATCAATTTGGTCAATTTGAATGCAAATTTAAGGAAGTAGAATTAAAAATTAATATTACTGCTGTAGGTATGGTAGGCTATTTAATAAATAATACTTTCACTTTTCAATAAAATACACTTTTTTTCAGAAATATAAGATGATATTCATGTATGTAATTCCATTGCATGTAATTTATATACACTACTGTCCAAATGTTTGGGATTGTTAAAATGTATTGGCTACATTTATTTATTAAAATACAATACATTCTGTATTAAATTATCTGAAAACATTGCTGTATGATAGAATTAAAGTCTGCTTAATGGTTGTGTCCTTTATTTTTGCAGCATTAGTTTAGTTTGAAAAATGTTGAAAAATCTGCATATTAAGGAATCAATAAGCCTAATTAGTCAACTCAAAATGAATTATTTGTATTTTGTGTTGATCTAATGAAATTTGCTCTACCGAACTCATGATAAAACCTTTAGCCTTTAATTAAATTTTTGTAAATTTCTTCTCAGAACAGCGATGCAAGTTGATTAAACTTGAGTTAACGTATAAACAATAGCTAACACTACATAAAGATTCAATGAATTAATAAACAAATGAATGACAAGTATAAATTGAAAACAAAAAAGCATGTTGGATTGCAGTAATTCCACTAATTTTCAACAGTGCTTGTGTATACACCTGTATATATATATACTTGTTTAATTTATAAATATTTATTGCATATCATACAGCTTTTTATTTTTTAAATGCTTTAATATATGTAGAAATGAATTGTTCATTGTCTGTTCATGTTAACTATTGCATTAACTAATTCTAATGTACACACTAATGTGTTATCAAAAAGTCTTGTGTTGGTAAACCGAAAGTTCAAGATCAAATTGCATCATGTCAGAGCTTAGAAATTACTGACTTATATTCATGAATTATTTTTTGCACATGCATACTCTCTCTTTTTAGCCTTATCTATTCAAAACAGTGCACATTATATTTATAGTTGGAACGTTTGACTTGAATTGGGTTTCACTAAGAATGTGTCTCAAAATCTCATTATCATTGTTGAATGTTTATCAGGAAGATGATCATGTCTGGTTTTTGTCCACTAAATCTTTCTTGGCAGAGTATGTGTGAAGTATGTGTTTTAATGTGTGTATGATGACCCTTTTGTTTGTGACACAATAGCAAGCATGCCGGTGAGTGAGACAGAATCCATGAATACAGAAAATGAGAAAGGAGAAGATAAGGCAACATGTTGCGGCCCAACATGGTGAGAAAACTCACACATACATGTGAAACATTCATATCAAGAAACATGAATTTATTAACTTTACAATTTCTTTCAATTTACAGTCAAAAAATTTCAAAATCAAAGTTCAGGTCAGTAAAGTTGTGATTAGTTCACATTATAATCTATCTATCTATCTGTCTGTCTGTCTGTCTGTCTAGTTATCTATCTATCTATCTATCTATATGTCTGTCTGTCTGTCTGTATATGTCTGTCTGTGTCTGTCTGTCTAGTGATCTATCTATATGTCTGTCTGTCTGTCTGTCTGTCTGTCTAGTGATCTATCTGTCTGTCTAGTGATCTATCTATCTATCTGTCTGTCTGTCTGTCTGTCTAGTGATCTATCTATCTAT